GACGATTCACTAGAGATTTGTATCAGCCATGCTGATTAAAGGCTAAAAGGGGTCACTCAGATAATTAATAGAGAAAAGTTTCTTTTTGGAGGAGTTAAAATTAACAAGTCATTCCTTGCCCCAGTTAACACTTACTTGCATAATATAATCAAACAAATAGTTACCAATATTTTAAGTAAGAGATAACCTTTTCCCACGGAATCTACTATGCACCTTTGTAAGTCCACAATTTGTCTGAGCATTAAATATTGTAGCCATGTCTTTTCTGTTGCTTAATGTATCTAGAGATTCTTGACAAAATCCAGAGAAGAATCTGCAATGTTATCGATCCTGACCGGGCATCTCGACTTCATCCACTTTCCCAACTCCGTCATCTAGTTTCCCTTTTCTACAAATATTTTCATGGTAATTGTTCTCTCCTCATGAATACTAGTAATGGCAGTACTAGATTGGTAGTTAGGTCTCATCATTTTACAATTTAAATTGCTTTGCGTATGCTTAAGTTCTATTTTAATGTTTTTTGGGTTTTATTTTTTATTTTTCTCTCGCACTTTTCACTTCCAGTTTCCTGCTCTGGTATCAAGTACGGCTTTCAAAAAATTTAAATACAAGGTCGTATTTTCTACACCCTTGATTTCTTTTTATTGCTCTTTCACCCCAGCACCGTTTTCTCGGGTTCCTCAACTCTCAGTAACCCCCCGTCTTGTGTTTCAGTGGCTTTATCGCCTTGTTTGGGGTGGGATATTTTTTAAGATAAAAAGAACGAACCTAGTAGCACGCTTAAATTCATGCAGTCAGGGAACCCGTGAAAATATCAAGTCAGATCAGATGCCATAATAATATTTATAGAAAAGACAGAGGAAAGACACATTACGCCGGTGAGAAAGTGACTGGAGTCGAGACCCCAAGTCAGGACCAATCACATTGCATATCCGTCCTGGGATTTTGTCGAGAACCTCGAGGTGAACAGCGTGGGCACCAGACCATATATGGTAACAGTATTCCATTCACGGACGAAGGGTAGATTTATAGATGTGAAGGATGAAACTTACAAAATCACCTAATAAATAACATTCACAATCATAGGTTGGACATGCAACAACACTATCCCGTAGGTTAACCTATAACTTGCTGATGACAGCCTAATCTGTGCAGATTTCAACAAAGATATATCGCTAGGCATTGGCATTTTCAGGAACATAAGGCAAATACACTACGAAAGAAAGTCAAAAATTATTCGCACTTTCGCCATAACATATCTGTATCTTGAATTTTTGACTTTCTCTCCGACATTTATACTGTATATTATATAATACTGTATATTATATAATATTGTATATTGTATAATACAGTATATTATATAATACTGTATATTATATAATATTGTATAATACTGTATATTATATAATACTGTATATTATATAATACTGTATATATAATACTATATATTATATAATACTATATATAATATGCATATTATATAATACAGTACATTATATAATATTGTATATCATATAATACTGTATATTATACTTTATAAAAAAAAAACTCTGTACAAAAACGGCTCCTTATATAAGAAAAATAAGCATAAAATAAAATAAATAAAATATCGTTCAACTTTAGAATTGCTGTTGTAAATATGTTATTCATTAACTTATGTTACATTTATGTATGATTTACATTTATATAACGACCACTTATCAGGTATATATATATATATATATATATATATATATATATATATATTAAAAAAAAAAAAGAACAGTAAGATTTAAAATCCAGTGTTCTTAATAAATTTTTTTTATTTAAAAAAACAGTGCTCGTTATATAAACCGTAGAGCATAATATTATAATTACTTACTAGTTTAAAAATATGGTCCCATCGCTACACAGGAATTACCATGTTTCAAAACAGAAATTAAAACTTTAAATTTAATTATAAAATAAAATTTAAAATCCATAAATTCCATTCCATCATCAATCGATTTTTTAACTTCTTAATAGGTTATTAAAAATCTGCTTGATAATGGAATGGAACTATGGATTTGAAATTTCATTTTTTTAAAAATACACGCGCAAACGCGTTCTTTTTCAGTTATTGTAAAATTTTAATTTATCTGTTTTAGTTATGGAATCATTTGTAAAACAAGGAAATATAAAACATTTGGACAGTTCTTACACACCCTTTGTCCAGAAAAGAAAGCTCTCGTCAGAATACAAGAAAAATTAAATAAAAAGCTTAACCGTAGTACCTTGTCTGTGGTTTTTAATGAAACATGCATAAAAGAAGGATTGCTGCCTAAATATGAAACTCTCTCTCTCTCTCTATATATATATATATATATATATATATATATATATATATATACCTACTAAAAATGAAAAAAAAATGACCCAAACTTAATAAAACAAAATCATTGTGCTATTCTTACGAGGAAAAGCAAAGAGTTTTATATATATATATATATATATATAAAAGTAAATTTTTAATCCTTTTTAGGACATTGTAAATTACAGTTAAAAATTTTGATTTTCTGGTGCCAACGAAGGATCTTAAATTTATACAGGAAATATGAAAGATATTTTTTTTTTATTGAAAAAGACATTGTTTTGTAATTTCATTCAAAAATCAGATAATTGTCAGGAATTAGTCTTAGAAATTACCATGTATATGAATAAGTACCTCTAAAGATTTGCTAAAAATGAGCCTAAATGATGAAAAATTTAAACAAATTTAATAAAAACAGTTTTATCGTCAAAATCTTTGTTATTATTAAGAAGAAACACCAAAATGATATTTTGATTATTCAAATGTATTTTTTTATCCTTTTTAGAACCTTCGAAATTTTCGTTAAAATTTTTTGTTTTTCTCACGTCAGCGGGTGACTATGAATTAGTCTGAGAAATTTTGGCGTATTTTTGCAGTGCGAAACATTGATCTGGAAATTCTTGCAAAAAGCATATAATTATCGGATTTTAATGAAACTTGCAGAAATTATTCAGAAGTGATTGAAATCATTTTAAATGTTTCTTTTTTAAAAAAATCTTTGCAAAAATATATTTTACATATATTACCCTCCCTACACACACTCATTTAATTTTAGGAAATTTCGAGAAATTCTTTTTTTGCATCGCTTAATGTTTATATTAGTTATGGGGAAAGGCCGAGGAGAATTTAAATCATGAATTTTTTTTTTTTTTTTTAATTTTTTTGGTCAGAGAGGCTCCCAAGTTGTCAAATATCTGCTCTGATTCGTAAAATCAAAATACAATAAAACTAAGACATTATTAACCTAGAAAAGTGTTTAATTGTTGTTATAAATAAAACATATGCCCAGATTTGCTGAAAATATCTTTTCCGATGGATAATGAATTTTTACAAATTTAAAAAAAATTAATTTAATTTAGAAATTTTTAAATCTTTAAAATTCTTTATTAATTGGTAGAGGTCAAGTGATATTTTTTTTATAAAAATAAAACTGCATTTACTAAAATGAAAAACACCGTTACAATTACTTCAGTATGTTTAAAAGAAAATAAGAGAGATACCTATAATAAATTTAGAATCTACTGGTAATTTTATCAACAAGCGTCGTTGTTATGTGCCATGCATGAGACACGCTTAGGCGATCATCTTTCGATACATGACTGAAGAGGCAGATTTTTTTTCCCGCAGTAGGTCGCCATTTCTTTCTGCAGTAGACCAGTTGCCATGTCGGTCCTGTTATTTACCTATCAGCTGTGGAGATAGAAGAGAAGGATTCATACGTTTCCCAAGGGTATTAGCACGTAAGTGAATGTAATAGATTCGAATGGAATTCGAATCACCGATTCCTCAATTCTCCATTACTCTACCGTGTCACATTAGAATGCATAAAATATTTTCTTATTTTTTTTTTTTTTTAAATTAGTGGGAAGTTAAAAACCATATTTAAATAAAAGGTGTTTACGTTAGATTCATTAAGCAATTTCTTTCAGTTCTATTTCCCGTACCTAAATTGATGTGTTTCTGTCCGAGAACGATCTTTACAATCGAATACATATAGGGGGATTTCGACTCGATAAATTGACGATGATGATTTAAATATATTGTCATAAGAATGCATCCAGAGCCTGGTAAAAGATTTCGCCCGAGACTTGAACTCCTGTTTTTTAGGGGTTCCCCCCGCCTGATGGTTATCTCTAAATCCTTATGGTGTGTTTCTAGCAGGAATTAACGAGACGAACACCATAAAGGTCAACATCTGTTCAATGTTCGAAAATGATCTTTGCTTTTGTCGAGCTCTGCATTTGTTTTAGTTTGTTATAAACGACTGGAGGACGAAAAGAAGCATTCAGTAATTTTCGGTCAGTGAAACTCTGACCCCCTCTTTACTAGGATTTATCAATCGGACTCTGCTTGACCTCTGAACGTTTCTTTTCTTTCTTTTTCTTCTTTCCTACTTTCTTTATTTCTTTGTTTCTTTCTTCATTTTACATCTAAATTCGTTCTTCTTCATTTTCTTCCTAAACTGATTCGTTCTTTCTTTATTCATTTCTTTCTTCTTCTTTCTTTCTTTCTTTCTTTCTTTCTTTCTTTTGTGTCTTTCGTCCACTCTCTTTCTTTCTTTCTTTCTTTCTTTCTTTCTAGATTCAAGGTTTGATACTCTCTTTCTCCATTCTTCCGTCTCTTTCTAATCTGATTGTATCTTTCTTTATTTATTTATTCATCTTTCATTATTTATTCTTTCTTTCTTTTTTCATTCTCTTTCTTACAATGATATTCACCCTGTACGAGATCCAAATGCCACTCAAGGCAGCAAGGGCGGGGGGTTATGGACTAAAAGGCACCACCCCAAGCAAGGTGATAAGGCAACCAAAACCCGAGGGACCAATGGAAGTAAGAGAAGGAAAAGACATTAGAAAGAACCAGAAAACCAATCCGAAACAGGAAACAGGGGATAAACCTTTACTCCTGTTCGAAAGACTGGGGAGAAGAGTGAAGCGGACGGCAGCTGAACCATAAATAGTATATAGATATGAATAGGCTAGTGGATAGATAGATAGATAGATAGATAGATAGATAGATAGATAGATAGATAGATAATGAACAGACGAGATAGATAGATAGATAGATAGATAGATAGATAGATAGATAGATAGATAGATAGATAGATAGATAATGTACGAGACGAGATAGATAGATAGATAGATAGATAGATAGATAGATAATGTACAGACGAGATAGATAGATAGATAGATAGATAGATAGATAGATAGATAGATAATGTACAGACGAGATAGATAGATAGATAGATAGATAGATAGATAGATAGATAATGTACAGACGAGATAGATAGATAGATAGATAGATAGATAGATAGATAGATAGATAGAAATAATTGAATTTAGATACAGACGGCCTTTATTTTTTTATTTTTCTTTCTTTTTCTTTTTTTTCTTTCTTTTTCTTTCTTTCTTTCTTTCTTTCTTTCTAATGCGATACATTCTTTTTTGTTTATTCTTTCATACTTTCTCTATTTCTTTATTCCTTTCTTTGCTTTTTTCTTTCTTTCATTTGCTTCTAAATAGATTTAATTATTAATTCTTCCTCTCTGTATCAGTTTCTGTGTAAAAAATACGATTGAAATTATTTGCGATCGTATTATTGTCCTCATCATTGTTGTTTTTAACCCAACTCTTCGGACATTGCGCTTTCTGTCTTCCTTCAGGTGTCTGAGCACTCGTAAAAAGAACAGGACGAGTTATCTCCCCTTGACATGGACAGCGGAACGAAAACAATTTAACCCCTTAGATTAAATAAAGAGTTCAATTCGAAATTCCCTGAAGGTTACCCGGAATGACAGGCACCTGAAGAAGGCCGTATGGCACAACAGCTGAAACGTTATGATAACAACAACAAAGACGAGGAGAACAGCCCGAATCTAAATAGTGTATATTATGATAATTCTCCTCATTCCAGAAATTCAGAAAGGAAATACATAAAGAATATTGATTTTTTTATAAATGTAAATATTTTAAGATGTTCATTTTTAAAACATTTCCCCCACCACAAGTAAGGCAGGAGAGCCACCAACACGCAGTGGGTTACAAAGAGTGAAAGTGAGGGAAAAGACTGTGACTCGAGGAGATTGAGGATTGGATAAAAAAAGAACGGGAATCAAGGCAACAGAAGATGGCGATTGACGTTGCATTTAAATTTTTGAAGGTTTTAGTTATCACGGAAGCAAGTAAGAGGAAGGGAGTTCCACTGTTGGGAAGCGCAAGAAAAGAAACTGCTGTAGTGGAAGTGGTGGTTGCATTTAACTTTTTCAACAGTAAAAAGGCGGGACCGAGATGCCGAACTAGTAACACGCTTAAAACCACGCATTCGGGACACCAGGAAAGATAGCTCATCAAAACAGTTGCCATGAAAATATTTGTAGAAAAGACAGAGGGAAGCCACATCACGTCTATGAGAGAGTCACTAAAGTCGAGATGTCAAGTCAGACTCAGATAATCATGTCAGAGAAATACAAAAGCAAAAAGATATTCTCTCTGTGGTGTCTCCATTTAAAGTGGACATGCCGACACCATTTTCTGTTACGCATTCATTTTAATACGATTCTCCATTTTACAATGTGTTCAACTTAACAGCTGCTCTTATAGCGTGACTGCATTTTAAAAGTGTCCTTTGAGGTCATAATGTTTTGTGTCTTTTCCAGATACACAAAGCCGTTTAACTGCCTCTCCAAAGAGAAACCAAATTGCAACATACAGACGACGGGATACAACATGCTCAGGGTCAAACCAGCTGTATTAATGCTAATTTTAATATGTAGATTTTGGATAGCTACGCAATAATATGCTTAGAATTATGTCAGAAAGAGGATTTCAAATGCAGAAGTTACACTTCTTAGACATTGAACCATAATCAGAATAAAAATATATTTATTTTTTTATCAGCTAAGGGTTGTATATACAGATAAATTCTTCTGTGTGTTCTCTTCATCAGAATTTGGATGATGAGTTTTATTATGTGGCACATTAGGCTGATTGTTCAATTGATTTCACATTCCTTTGCACCTGGCTTCTTAGGCAGTGCTATGAAAATAGATCTACATGGGTCCAGAATATCACCACGGTTATAGGACAAGAACTGTGTGTGCTTGTTAAAGACACTGGAACAAAGAAAACAATATTTTTGCTCAGAATGATATCAGAAAGAGCAATTCAACTGCAGAAGTATTTGTCTATGTGTTTTATAGATCATGCAAAAACGTTTGATAAAGCACGTTAGAAATGGAACTGATAGGTAACCATGACATATTTGGGAATGAATTTAGAATAATCCAGAGCTTATACTAAGAAGAAACCGTCTACATAAGCACAGAAAATGAATTCAGTAAATATTCAATAGTTAAATAGAATATTCAGAGTTATTCAACCAATACAACGAAGCGATTCGGAGAGAATTTCAAGTCTTAACAGGATTCATTATTGACAGCTACAATCTTAACAACATAAGATATGCAGATGACACAGTGTTGATGATATGTCCCGGAAAGGGATATATTTGTTCGAAGTAGCAAAGTGGTTTTGGACTACTGTAACCGAGTAGGACAATCTAGCAGGTAAGCGTAATGGACTGGTCCTCGTCGTAGTGGTAGACAATAGGCGTAGACAATAGGCGAAGACTATAGGCGTAGCCAATAGGCGTCGTCCTGTAGGTCCTCGTCGTAGTGGTAGGCAATAGGCGAAGACTATAGACGTAGCCAATAGGCGTCGTTGTGTAGGTCCTCGTTGTAGTGGTAGGCAATAGGCGCAGCCAATAGGCGTTATCCTGTACCTCCACATCAGTCTGTATTTATGGCTGACACCAGCCAATTATATTACTGTTAGGGGGAACCCAGGTGTATGCATATTCATTGCATCGGTTGATAACAGGCACAGAAATGAAACTATAAAAACTCCTACAGAAGTTAGTGAAGGAAAGCGAGAAGAAAGGACTAAACATCAATTACAGGAAGACTGGATGCATAGTTGTCAGTAAAAGGAGCAGCCGAAAATGTCAAATGTTACGATATTTATGGTGAGCTCTTTACATCAGATGGTGATAATCATAGAAATTGTGAAGGGTTTTAATTATGTATGTGCGGTTTTTATATATTTTTTTTATTCTGTAATGAGAAAAAAAGATTTTCTGGCATCTTAAATGTTTTTTTTGTTTTTTTGCTTAACACTGATAAAGAAATACCATATAACGTATGTTATTGAAAAATAAAGTTTGCATGTTATATTAAATGTTGTTGTCATTTAACGCCACAATGATAATGAATTTTAATTGGAAATATAGATTGTATGTTATCCAAAATTTTGTTATTTAACACTTCTACGAGAAATAATAATTGTTGTGAACGCACCTCTTGTTCTGCAAGTCGGGAACGACAGATTTGTTTACGTTACTTGTGTGTGTTGCTCAGCGAAACTCTTGCAAGTTGTTTTGTAATCGTCTCTTGTACATTGCATTTTAATATGAAATTAAAAAATGAAAGCAGTTTTCTTACATTTATAAACGTAGTGGAGGACTAGAATATGAATTGTTTCAACTAGTAATATTTACATCTGTAGTTACTATGTTAGCAATGAATGGTGCAAGAATACTAGCCTACTTACCGCTGCCGATACATCACAGGATTTAAGATGAGCTTTTTGAAACTGTTTTATTAGATCACACACTACTTTTTTTTTCTTTTTTTTTTTTTTGGCGTGGGAGGATTTTTAAGATACAATGGTCTCCTTATACGCGGGAATATACGGCATTACAAAATAGACGTTTCCATAGGCGATTCCCGATGGTCATTTCCAGAGTCAATTCCTTTCTCCAGATACCCTGGAAAAAATGCCCGTAAAAAAACGCGCATTCTCGCGCATTCACATAACTATAAGGCCAGTAATAGCGAGTTTGAGGCATTTGTGTGAAAAATCTACGCGTTTAGATACGCATAAACGCTTGTGCAAACGTGAACAAAACAGGCAAAAATGCACGCGAAAACCGAAGACAAATTTACACTAGTTTCACTTGGGAAACGCGCCAGTCATGTCCAATGGAAGCACAGACCGTTTTCTCAATATAGCAGACGCACACACAAGTGTGTGTTTTACATACATAGATACATACTTTCACCCATAGACACACACACATATATATATGTATTTTAAGACATTTTTATGTTTATCCATTCTTTTTATAGATACAAATATTTAAGTAAATGCTCTGTTTATAATAAACAGTATTAAACAACATTTAGCGGCCTGAATGTCCGAGAAACTTTCACAGAAAATATTCATCCTCCGACAGGATTCGAACACGTATCCTATACTGAACCGTCATTTAGCGTGACGTCCCTTTATCGATTTGGCTACGAAGGAGCGCCCGGTTAGAAAGGTCGAATTTATTTTATTTAAACTTCAATCTTCCATGAATCTCTCACGTACATTCATATCTGCTCATGGCGTATCAAATGTAAACAAATGACGTCACGCATTATAAAATGGACAAAGTCTGACAATTATTGTAAGACATTTTATGTTTATACATTCTTGTGATAAAATGTCTTAAATAATTGCTAACCGAACGCGCCTCTGTGGCCAAATCGGTAAAGGCACGTCAAGCGAAATGACGGTTCCGTATAGGATACATGTTCGAATCCTGTAAGAAGACGAATACTTTCTGTGAAATTTTCTCGGACATTCAGGTCGGTGAATGTTGTTTAATACTGTTTATTATAAACAGAGCATTTACTTAAATATTTGTATCTATAAAAAGAATGGATAAACATAAAAATGTCTTAAAATAATTGTCCATTTCATAATGTGTGACGTCATATATATATATATATATATATATATATATATATATATATATATATATATATATATATCGGGTGATATACATAAATTGTCGTCTAAATTACGCAAAAATGAAAATAACACTGCCATCTCATTTTAATAAATATATTTCCCAAAATTATGCAAAACTATCTAAAAAATATATATATATATATATATATATATATATATATATATATATATATATATATATATTTGATAGCTGGTCACCATAATCGAGCATACTAGGCGGCTACACAATCCCCATTGCAGACGTATTTGTGTTCATTCAACAACCACTGAGTCCTGTGCACTATAAACCTGTGGTTTATACTGCAACTATGCTGAGCAGACCTGAGTTACAGTTTCTGGGAGAGAGGGTGTTATCTAGCGTGATCAACAATTTGAACAAGACCACGATGGCTTGTGACTTCGTGCTAGCTGCGCTCTCGACAGCACCCAAGGGTTCCGTCTACACACTTTCATTCGCAAGGCTTGGGTCAACCCGTCGTATCGTTTTCAGGCACTTTCTAAAGGTGCCGCACGCTGGTATCGCCCCCCTCCAAACCGAGAACATCAGGAAGTCTCCTTCCTAACAAATCAACCGTAGTGAGATTCGAATCCGGGTCAGAAAGTGGTTCTAACGACTCGGCCAAGTCGGATATATATATATATATATATATATATATATATATATATATATATATATATGCAGCAATTTTTCATTGTTGCATGTTTCATTAAATAATATGGACAAAACTTGTCTATATTATCTAATGAAACATGCATATATATATATATATATATATATATATATATATATATATATATATATATATATATATATATATATACTTAATAGAGAAATCGTTATTTTGTCTCAAATGGTGAGCAGGTACAAATTTAGAAACTTAAAATTAAACATTTAAAAAAAGAAAAAAGACGCAGCTGTTGAAAATAGATGTCGAGTTCACCAAACAAAACCTGTATTTGGGGAAGGAGAATCGGATATTGCCTGGCTTCAATGGAAAAGCTTAACAAAAACATGGCATAGATTTTTAATTCCAACACCCCAAGTTGAGGTTATGAAAAAAATTGAAGGGAAATTAAATAATGCCAGGAAAAATTTAAAAAACCCAGTTATTAAAAAAAAAAGGTAAAAAATAAATTATTAGTTATAAAACAAAAAAAAATTCCTTTCAAAATTGCCACAAATATGCTAGCAAATAATATAAGATTAACAATAAATTTAGATAGTATATATTAAATATTTATTTTTAGAGAGTATATATTAAATATTTATATATTAAATTATTTATATGTCCTGTTAAAATAAATACATTGAGCTATTTCTGTGGATCAATTTTAATATTTTATATTACTAGGATACACTTGGATTATATACCAACGGATTCGTTACCTGTGCTATATATATATATATATATATATATATATATATATATATATATATATATATATAGTCGGTGGCCTGATGATTGCCTCTGACTGTTGACTTCAATGTTCACTTTTATATATATATATATATATATATATATATATATATATATATATATATATATATATATATATATTGTGTGATATATATATATATATATATGTGTGTGTGTGTATTGTGTGAAACTTTTTTACATCAGAAGAGCTTTTTCACGTGGAATTACTTTTCTCAACGTACACGATTCTGCTGATGACGTAACAGAAATGGAATTTTCTATTATTTTGAACTAATATCAAATTATTTATGTCTTGAATTATTTTTAGCTTTCGCCTTATTTTTAACTTAGTGATAAACAGTCATTTTATAACTTCATTGCACTTATAACCTATCAAAACCTTATACATTACGTCATCTTTTGACAGCACGGGTCATCTAGTGCATATACATATATATATATATATGTGTGTGTGTGTGTGTTTGTGTGTGTTTAAAGAGGTAACAAATTGTATCTGGTTGTACTTATCATAGAGCGTACGCAAGGCTCGGGGCGTTTATTTACGTAAGAGTAAATCCAAAGATATGCTATAACGAAAATGATAATTTACCAACGCTTACAAGTGCCGAGGACCTGTGTAAATAGGTCGTTAGTCATCAGATGTAATTCATTTGGTGCTGGTCTCGGGGTGGAAAAGCCTTGAAGTAGGCAGATAATTGTCAAGTGCCCAGCAACCTGTTGGCGATATAGAGCTGGTTTGGCCCACTGACACGCCAAAAAGGGCAAACTAGTAAACGAATGATGCAATACCACAAAAGCCCTCCCACTGATTGTCGTAAATTGCTCTGATAATAAGCACAGCCCAACTAATTATTTATAACCGAATACGCATTCTTTGTAGCACTCACACGGACACTTGCATAGATATATAAACAGATTTTATGCGCACATACACACACACAATTATTCACCCACTTGCACATACACTAGATTTTGTAAGCAAAGGAGACAGATGCTGTTTGTTGTCGACCGTTCCCATCTGCTAGGGTGGCTAATAAATCCCTGTTGCAGACGCCTTCTCAGGCACGTTTGTGTTTATTCAACACCCGCTGGATCGATTTGTGGCTTGTAATGTAACTTTAATTGCAGTTGGAAAGAAGGCAATCAGCAGTTTTGCACGAAGCCAGTATTTTCAAAACCTCTGTCATAATGACTGGGGACTTCGTGCCAGTACCACTATAGAAAGCTTTCCAACAGCTTCATCTACACAATCTTTTGGGTCACCTGTGTTATGGTTTCTAGGTAATTCCAGACAGTGCTGCCTCCTCAGTCAGGCATTATCAAGACGTCAGCACTTTGGCAAATCGACCACGGTACTATTCGAATATTGTTTTAATAACGCCACAACCAATCAACCATCCTTAATTGTCAAATATCTAAAGCTATTTAATTTCTTTAGTTTGGCATAAGGTTATAAATATGGAGAATTCGAATTCCAATATATGCCTAGGTATTTCTTAATTTTAAGTTTGACACAAGGCTATAAGATCGAGTGAGAATTAAACTCCCAACGTTATCTTATTAGTCTGCAAATCGGACTCGCAACGTATCGCTTTATGGTAGACATTTTCTACTCACCCTAAGCCAAGGGTCGGCAACCTACCGCCCGCAGGCCGGATCCGGCCCGCGAAAGCATTTTGATCGGCCCGCGAGCCTGATTACCAATGACTCTATTTTTAAAATGAGAGACGACCTTCAAATGAAATTTGTTATATGTCAATTTCCATAGAATGTCTACACACATATCAGTGCACTAAAAATATTAGACTATCTGCCAGTTATCTTTCATGAGACTTATTTTTACCAAGTTGCGTTGCCTACGTTTAATGTCAAATAATGGATACATATTTGTTATGACCCTTAGCTACATTAAAAGATAACAGAAGCGAAAGGAACGATAAAATGAAAGAGGCCAAGGAGGGAATGACATGCGAGGTAGCAGAAATCTAAAGACAGTTAAACATACGCGCATTATACATACATGCCTCATGAATGTGTGGATGATACCGCATGTGTACGTACGTAAGTGTATATGTTTGCAACTATTTGTACTCGTATGTATGGGTATATGTGCTTCGTTTTTGTTTGATGTGTGTGTGTGTGTGTGTGTGTGTGTGTGTGTGTGTGTGTGTGGTTCGTTTGCGAAACAATTTTCAATAACAGTTTCAAACCTGCACGTCATAATTTCATCCATTTCACTTCGATTGATTTTTTTTCACTTTGAAGTATTTTGACGTTCCTTGAGGAAAAGTAATTTTTGTTAGGTGTTTTTTTAATTTTAGATTTTCTTTTGTTTTTCTGATTTCTCAATGTTTATTTTCATTATGGTTTTAAATATGTAGGTTGACAGGGGTCTGCATATGTAATTTTCCTTAATTTTTCAGTAATGGCCTTCGTCCGGCCCGCGACCCGTCATTATAACACGATCCGGCCCGCGAGGTCGAATGAGTTGCTGACCCCTGCCCTAAGCCTACTCTGGTACAAGCAATGGCCATTGATTGGCGATTGATCACTCTTTTGAT